CGTGCAGAATTACGTTTGGACCTCTTGCACTCCGAGGGGGTTCGCCCTGGATATTGGCCTGATCTAGTGGATGCCGACGTGCGTGTGGCTCAAGAAGTTATGAACGATGCTAGTAGTGAACACGACGATACACAGAACGACGCAAATTACAACCCGGATGACGACGTCGACAACCAGGATGACGATGATATCCAGGGTGGTGACAGTGTCCCCTCAGCCCCGAAACGCAGTCGCACCTCCATCTCGTCGCACTCTGATGTTCCAGTGACCCAGTCCACGGCTACGGCTGGCACACCGTCAAAGCGTGCACGTTCTGGTAGTCTGCGTCGTCAGTCGCCCCTGGCACAAGTCGACTCAGGGAGCCTCACTGTGGCAGACACCGAGGTCGTGGAAGTTCCAGGTCCCGGAATGTCATCCTGGCGTCACTACGAGATCTTGATGACTTTCTCCCCTTCATCGGCTCACGCGGTGCATCAGTCTGCGGGTTTCCCTGACTACGCGCCCAACAAGGCAGGTGGCATCCAGCCTCTGAAGCAACGGTTCATCCTGGCTGACGTGCAAGCTTTGCTGGCTACGGAGCCCTGGACGACCATGTTCGAGAATCGTGTGAAACGCTTGGTCCTGCTCTCATACAGAATCATGTGCACATCGGTTCATCATCCAGGGTTCAGTCACAAAAAGCTATCCAGGAACGAAAATTCACGAAAACACTCCACAGTCGAAAATTAACCACAAAATCGAAACAGTTCACAAATTTCATCAGTCTGAATCTGGATCAGTGAGCCATCCAGGATTGATGGACAGGTCCACCTAGATTTGGGGATGGTCGTCATCAGCCTGCATCGCCCTGAAGCGTGCTCTGGCTCTGGCGCCTTGGTTGAATTCATACAACAGGGCTCCACAGGTTAAGTTGCGACAGTGGTATCCATTCAGGATCGACGTATCCCTTCCACTTGACAAGATACTCTCTCGTCCTCCTGGATGTGCGGGTGTGTTTAATACATCGGAGGTCCAGGATTCGTTCCCCTTCGTACTCATCATCCTGGTTGTTTGCTTCCCAACTATCGGCAGGTAACAATTCCGCATCCAGGTCATCATTCTCATCCAGGGTGATTTCATCGCTTGGTCTTTTCGGGAATAATGCCCTGGGCTTCAGACGACTTATGTGCACCCAGAGGTTCACGCGATACCCAGTTCCGTCGATCTTCAATTTCACCCTGAAATCATCATGTACTTCGTCAATTCTGAAAGGACCATGCCACAGGTGTGCCAACTTGCGACTCAGCCCTGGTTGTACTTTGGGTACACTGCGTCGCCCCTTTCGAATCCAGACTTCAAACGTACTGAAAGCTCTCTCCACTTCTGGGTCTGAGCTTCCGATCTCAGGCGCTTCGTCTTCTTCTGTAAGTCCTTGGCACAAGCTCGTGCATAACTATAGTCACGCTGGAACTTTCTTCTCCATTCGTACGCAGTCCGTTCTGGAAGGCTGGACGGCTTAGGCCCTAGCATGGAAGATATGGTACCTTGAGCATCCCAACCATGGACTAGATAGAATGGTGTATCCAGACGGGTCGCGAAAAACGATGTGGTCAGGGCGAACATCAGCCGCTCGGCATGATCATCCCAATCTGACTGACCTGCCCCGGCAACATACGCTCGCACGCTCCGGATAACCGTCTGAACAGAACGTTCTTGTTGTCCATTGGCTTGGGGTCGGTAACTCAGGGTGGATCTCTGACGGCTGCCATGGAGTTCCCTGAATCGAGCAAAAACTTCACTCATGAATCTTGGGTCTTGATCGTGACGGATCATTTCTGAAGCACCAAACATTCTGAACACCCGTTCCTCATATGCCTTGGCTACATCCTGGGTTGTCGTGGAAGGCATTGGTTTGCACATCACGAATCCTGAGAACATATCTTGGAATAAAAGCAAGAAAGTGTTTCCCCGCTCCGACTTCGGCATGTGTGTCACGAAATCCATCAAGACCACTTCAAATGATCGTCTTGGTTCGATATTTCCAGGAGATGGACCAGGGTTAGATGGATGTCCTTTGTCACTCGCACAATCCACACATTCTTTTACGTGTCGTTCCACATCGGCATACATCCCGGGCCCATAGAACTCAGAGCGCAATTTTTCGTGAGTCCGTTTGATGCCCTGGTGTCCACCCTGAAAATCCTCGTGGGCATAATGTAAAATGTCCTCTCTCAGGGTGATGGGTACTACCAGTCGTAATCATCCTGGGCATCTCAGGGCCTGCCTCGGTGGACTGAGCTAACCGATACAACACGCCACGGACATCCAGGGCGAACAATCTGCGACCTTGGCAATCCTCCGCAACCGGTGACAAGTGAACCGATCGACTTCTCCATTCAGGAAATCTCTCAAGTCGCGCAGGTATTCATCTTGTTCCAGATGTACCTTAATCCGCCGCCACCTTTCTCGTTGGTAATCCAGAGGTTCAAGAGGTTCTGATGATGCTCGTTGGTCTCGGACACTAGACCGTGTCACAGCAACCAAGCTTTTGGCTGCACGCGGCAGTGGGACTGCCATGACATCCAGGGTAGAGGGGCATCCAGGATTGTATGGACAACCTTCTTCATCCTAGGTGATAACGAATCCTGAATGACTCAGGTGGCCCTCGGCCGACTTCATCAACTTCTCTTGAATCTTGGATACTCGCTCCAGGTGTTGACGTTCTCCATCTTCTTGGACACTCCAGGATCTCCCGAGTAACAGTGTCTTGGAAGTCCAGTAATCTGCTGCCTGATTAAAGCCCCGCTTGACGTGTACCAGTCTCACCGAATCGAATTTTGTTTTCAATGCTTCACAGCTGGCCAACCGCCTTTGCAAGTTAGGCTGATTACAGTTAATCAGACCCTGTACTTGCTGGATGACGATTCGTGAGTCACCCACAGCGATCAAGTCCCTGACGCCCCTGGCTTGTGCCATGGTTAGACCATTCAGAAGTCCACAGTACTCGGCGTCATTCACAGTGACATCTTCCAGGATGAAACCTTGTGCATCCAAGATTTTCCATCCAGGGAGTTCCCACAAAATACACCCACAGCTACCTTGCCGGGTAGACGTCGTGGCGGCGCCATCGAAACTCAAAACGATGCCCTGGAAGGTATCTTCCAACATCTCCACGCTGATTATCGGTGGCGGTTTCGCACGCCCCTTGGTAGGAATGAGTTCCTCGGTGGCTTCGTCTAAATACTCTCGGGGTGTGATGCCAGTTTCCAGGATGGCAGCTAGTCCATCTTCATCTCGCTGGACCTTCCTGACATCCCACTGCGAAAGTAGAACTCCCCAGGGCACACATCTCCCATCTGCCGTCCTTGATTTCATGATCCACTTCAGAACCGAGTGCCTAGTGTACACGATGAGAGTGCAATTCTGAATGAGCGTCCTAAACACCTGTAGTACCCTCAGCACGGCGATGACCTCCTTTTCTGCGATGTGATACCTCAATTCCGCATCGTGGAGAACACGCCCCGTAAAACGCACTGGCTGGATCAAACCATCATGTTCTTGACCCAAGACCGCACAGGCAGCCCATTGATTTACATGGGGTATAATGACGAATGGTTTGGTCCTGTCAGGGTGTCTTAATACTGGGTCGACACGATCTTGTGTTTCAGGATTTCAAACGCCTGCTTTGCC